AAGGGCCCAAAACTCCGGTAAACACAGCCCGGGCTGCGTGTGCCCACGGCTGAGCGCCAGCTGGCAGAGATGTAGGGCCTCGTGCGTCCCGGGCGTCAGTGGTCACCTCTGGCCACTGCTTTCTCCTGTTGGCCAACTTTTCCTGCCCAAATCCGCATGGCATAGGGGGAGCCCGGCTCATTCCAGAAGGAAATCGATTCCTGGTTGCTCAGGGGTTGTCTAGCGCTCTGGCCATCGGCCATCCCCAAATGAGGTTGGTGCCAAGCCCGGGCGACTGAGACAGAGGCCTGCCCCACACCCAGCTGTTCCTATGGAGCCCTATCCGGTTCTGAGCCACCGCAGAGGGTGTTAGCCAGGGCTGAGCACGCAGGAGACAGGGCGGGAGGGGACAGTGGCACAGAGAGGGTCTCAGTGTGGCTCTGCTCTCTCTGAGGCCATAGGGAGGACTCGGTCAGCCAAGCCCTCTGGGTCCTCAGCTCAGGGGGGAAGGGGTCCTCGCCAAGGCAAGTAGCTGACCTTGCTTATGTTCAGCGGGGCCAACCGCCCGGAAATTTCGCAGGACGGCCCAGAAGCCTGCTGAACCTGTTTTCTCATACCCTGAATCCAGGACTGACCACACCATTTGCAGAGCCTGGGATAAAACGAAAACATGGGGCCCCTTGCTCACAAATTACTAAGAATGTCAAGATGTAGTCCTCCTTTTCAAAGCAATCTCCTTACATTCTCGTGTGGGGTGTATGGAATTCATTTTCTTAAAATCTCAGGGTGGTGGGAAGGAGGAGGGGGCAGGGGCCGAACACAATTGATCACAGGTGGTAACTGTCATAGACAGATGATGCGGGCAGAAAACTTTAGCATACTGGTTTTCAACATTTAGGTCAGGGGTCCTCGAACTTTTTAAACAGGGGGCCAGTTCACTGTCCCTCAGACCGTTGACTGTGGGCCTGGGACGAGTCAGCTGCTAAGCAGGACAGGCAGCGGCAGCAAAAACACCCAGATGGCCAGATAGGATAAATGTCCTTAGCGGGCCACGGGCTGTAGTTTGAGGACACCTAGTTTAGGCAGTTAAATGTTTCCATAAATCTGCAAAACGCCTTCTGCCTTGGCGAACAAGCACAGATATGGCATCGTGAGCAGGAAGGGACTCAGCCAGCTTGCCTCTTTGGAGAGAAGGCCCCGAACCTGGCACCACACACTGTTCCTGGGGTGTGTGCGGGGATACGGCCTGTTCCCAGACTTGCCACCATCCAACCTGGACTGCAGGTGCCAGGATGTAAGGACGTGGATTTGTGGGAAGGGCCCTCAGACCAAGTTGCCCATTGAGGGTGATAAAAGCAACTAAAACCCTATTTTTTCCAGCACTTTAGTTGCCTAAGTATTGTACAAGTTACACAAATGCCCCACCATTGTATCTGCAATACCCTCTTTCAATAGAGTGCCAGCAACGTCCCTTTTAGGCTTTGTAAGGCCCCCTTTGAGAAGATCAAAACGGCCAATAGGTCTGAGCAGATAAATAGATAAAGCCTGAGGACCCCCTGCCCCCCACCCCGTCCCTGGTAGTGCCGGATGGTGGGAGCTAAGCAGCCAGTCTGGACACCTGGCCTGCAAGGTCTCTGGACCTCCAGTCTTGTCTGAAGAGGTCCATGAGGACCCAAGAGGCGCCAGCGTCACTCACTCTTCATTGCCAAGACAGAGGTAAAATGTTTGCTTCCGGAGTTTGGTCAGCAGAAAGTGGCTCAGGCTGTGCGAAACATGCTTAGGCGACACTCAGATTATATTCCACACACGCAAGTGGAGTTTAGGGATTAATCCATGCAGGCCGCTGTAACAAAATACCATATGCTAAGTGGCTTAGGAACCACAGAATGTATTTCTCTCAGTTCTGGAGGCCGGGAAGACCATGATCAAAGCACTGGGAAATTCAGTGTCTGCTGGCCACTGCGGGGCAGAGATGAGAAATTTGCAGCCCTGCCCTCCTCGTGTAAGGGCAGGCTGGAAGAAGCCAAGGGCGGTCAGAATGCTGCAGGACAGGTCAGGAGGCCAAGGGAATAGGTCATCGGGGTTGGCCATTGGGTTGGTCCATGGGGTGGCGGAGCAAAGCTTCGAGAAAGGCTGTGATGAACACATAGAAGCTGGGGAAGACCTTCCAGGCGGAGGGGACCGAGGAGTAACATCAGACCCCCTCGAGCACCTCTCTCTTAAATCCCCTCCATTGAGCCTTCCTCTTCCCCAGCTCCTGGCCCACCTCCTCTCCTCCTCGCACAGCCAAACCCCGGAGCGTTTGCGCTCCTTGTCACCCCTTCCTGCCCTCATCCTCCTCCAGCTCTTGCCAGTCTCGCTCAGGCCCTGCTGCCCCTCTGTCTGGACCACCATGGCCAGCGTCACCAGTGACCTGCACGTCACCCGATCCACAGATTCTGTCCTCACCTGTCCCCACCTCTCAGCTGGCTGGACACGGGCCACCTCGGTGGTCCTTCTGCTGGTGGCCCCGTGCTGCCCTTCCCTTTACCCGACTCGCACTGTCGGCGCCTCGGGTTGCCAGGACCCGTTCTCTCCTCTCCCTTGACCCTGTCCCAGGTGAGCTCGCCCATCCCTGTGGCTTCAGACGGTGTCAGCTGAATGCTGACCGGCCCCGACTCTCTACCTGTAACGACACAAGTCGGATTGCACAGAACCCACAGCAGCTGCCTGTCTCACTCGGGGCAGACGACAGAGCCCTGTGCCACCAGCCTCCCCGCCTGTCTGTCCTCACCTCCTCCCTCTCTCCCTGGAGCTCACCCTGCTCCAGCCACCCCGGCTCCTTTGCGCCCTCACCCAGGCAAGACCTGCCTCTGCCCCAGGGCCTTTGCACATTCCTCCTCCGCGATCCAGCACCCCTGCCCTGTGCACAGCCGCCTTGGCAGACAGACGGCCTTCAGGTCCCAGACAGGCCCTCCCACCCTCGTTATTCTCTGTAGCTTCACAAAATGTTCTCTCGTATTTGTTTGCCTGTTGGCTCGTAGCCCAGCAGACCATGAGCTCCTGTGGGACAGTGGGAGGGGCGCAGTCTGACTTGTTCCCTGCTGTGTAACCAGAGCCTGGCACAGAACCGTGCCCAGGAACACCGCTGAACGGGGGGCGGGAGGGCGGCTGTCCGGGCCCCCACCTCCAGCCCCGCAGACTGTCCCCAGGAGGTGGGCGGGCGTCTCACCTGGCTCCCCCTGCTCTCTCTCCTCAGCACCAAGCGGTTTGAACATGATCGCGCCCTTCCGCCTGAACGATGGCTTCAAGGACGAGGCACTGTGGCAGAGTGAGGCGTGACTGCCCCTGGAAGATCTCGTGATGAGGAGATCAACTAAAGAACAGAGTCAAGGTGCAGGGGGTCAGGCCCCGCGGGCGGGTGGACCAAGCTCCACTGGCTCGGCTGCGTGTCCACATTGTCCCCTTGACCCTTCATCCGCCGCTTCCCCACCCCCGCCCAGCTCTCCTCAATGGACACTCGGCTGGAGACTCAGCTGGGACTCAACGCCGTACTGGTGTGGACAGCCGCTGCACTTGGTGCCCCAGCGGTCTTCCCTCTCCTGCCCATTCCTGGTGTGCCGGTGAAGGGACCTGGGAGACGCTGTGAGATGGAGGTGTGAGTTGTATTCCTGTGGCCAACACAGGGCCAGAGCCACGCCGCCCTTCTAGAACAGCCTTCAGACTCGGGCTGAAAGGGCGTGCAATGTGGTACACGTGGGGCGACGTGGACACGCTTTAAACAGGCTGTGGCCTCACCGTGGGCAAAGCGCCAGGAGGGCTGGGACAGGCAGGCGCAGCTCCCAGATCACTGTTCGCCCACACGGCGTGTTGCCCCAGGGACACCTTTGGCAACCCTCTGGAGACAGTTTGGTTGTCACAGCCAGGGGGTGGGGTGCTCTCATGTAGCCTGGGCCACTGAATCTCGTGCACGGACACTGCCACGACAGAGGGACCGTCTGTCTGGAAATGCCAGGCAGTGCGAGTTGCGAGCCGATTAGTTAACCCCCCCCCCACCAGCTTCCCGTCTCTAGAATGTGGTGCATTTGCGATCAGATCCAAGTGTAGCCATTTATGAACAATTGGGAGAGACCCCCGACCCGGCCCCCACACCAAGCTTTGGGGAATTCTCTGATCTGTCGGCCCCAGACCCTGCCCCCAAAAAGCCCCTTGAAAATGCTGGTAATAGGCCTGGTGTTCCCGGGGCCGGCCCATGCTCTGTCAGAGGACCACGGCCTGCTGTCCAGCTCTGAGTTCTTGCTCGTACCAATCCATGTCCTGCCCAGGGATTCCGACTCAGTGGGTGGGCTGGGGCCCAGGTGGGGTATTGTTTTGAGGCTCCTTGGGTGATTCCAGCGTGGACACTCCCCTGCCCCACCCCATTTGTCCTATAACAGTCTCACCACCCCGCACCACCAGCCGGATCGCCACCCCGCTCTTCCAAGTCTTCCCTGTTGCACACCACGGCTGTCTCTTCCTTCCCTGTTAGACCCAAAGTCATTGCCATCTGGCTTGCTACGCCCCGTTCTGCACTCAGTTCTTGCCTGTTACCTTTGTTTTCTCGGGCACTCTGTAAGTTGCTTTACTCAACTTTCCTATCCCTGAGACCTCTGCTACTCAAAGTGCGGTCTGTGACCAGTGGCACCGCATCCCCGGGGAGATTGTTAGCAATGCACACTCGCAGGCCGCAGCTGAGTTAGAATCTGCACAGTGACTAGATCCCAGCAAACGCGCAGACACGTTAAGATCCGAGGTGCAGTGGTACAGAAATGGTCCCGGGTACGTGGGAGATTCTGGTCCGTCATTTTTCCACATCACATGTCATCATTGACCTACCGGCTCAGTATTTGTGCATTGTCTGCCCCCTACCCGCGTGTTAGAATGGCAACCCCACCAGGGCAGGGTTTGACCTGTTTCGCTCACTGCTGTGTATTCAGCAGGCACTCAATAAAAATGAGTTGAGTGAATATTGACGTTTTACAAAAGCCCCATCTGTCCTCCAGGATCATTTCCCTGCTGAGCAAGTTCCGACTGGGATTCCACGAAGTCCACATCCTGCCCGACATCAACCAGAAGCCGCGGGCCGAGCAGTGAGTTCTCTGTGTCGGGGGTTCCAGGCAGAAGCGCCAGTTGTGTCCCCTGCAGGCCCCTCTGCCCGCATCCCCCATTCTCCCTGGTGAGCCCTGAGCAGGGGCTCCTCCAGCCCCACCCAGGCAGGGCTCACGGAAACAAAGAGGAAGAGTCGTGGTGTACAGCCATTTATTTTTGCATGTGTGTTTCTCCTCCCCGCCCCGCTGGTCTTTTGCAAATCAGAGCTCTGGGCTTTGCCACAAATCTGCCCGGCCTTGGAGGCTGATCAATGCTCACATTCACGCCTTTCTTCCATGGTTTTTAAAGCTCTTTCTGGTGCAGGTTGTGGCTGTTCTGCCACTTGAGCCAACATTTCATCACAAGGGACCCCCCTCTCCCGGCCTGGGGGTCCAGGGAGCCTCTGGCTTTGCACTCAGGAGCTCAGGTGGCTTGTCCTCACGAAAGGCTGATTTTACCCACGAAGGTGACGCTGGCTCAGTGATTCTCAAACCTTGGTGTGTGTCAGGAGCCCCTGGAGGGCTTGTGAAGACACAGCTTTCTGGGTGTCACCCCCAAGATTCACTGGGCCTGGGGTGGGGCCTGGGAACCTGCATGTCTGACAAGCTCTCAAGTGATGCCGGGCTGCTGGCCCAGGCACCCCACTTTGGGAACCCCCGTCTGAGAGCCCATGCAGGTAAAGTGCTTAACGCAGCGCCCAGCCCGGAGTCAGTGTTTAGTAAATACTGCATTTGTGGCCTCCGCTTTCTCGTGGCTTCTGAGCTCTCTCTGCATCCTGGCCTTCCCCCGACCTGCCAGCTCCACTGCAAACCGCCTTCTTCTCCAGGCGTTGCCTAATTTCAGTTCCTATAAAGGGACTGCACCTGGCCGGGCTCGCACCTGGCCCGGCTCGCACCTTCCTGCCAGGCCAAGGTGGTTACTGTGCAGCCTCGTTCTTGGCTACCTTTGGTCCCGTTGACCACAGCCAGCGGTGACAGAGTCATGTGCCCAGAACACAGGGTCAGAGAGCACAGCTTCTACAGGGGCTGTGGCAGGGCACGCCCCTTCCCTGGGGAAGAGGGGACCACTGGGCAAGGCAGCGGCTGCCCCTGCTGTTATGTTAACATGTCAGTGCCAGGAGTGGGGAAAATGTTGAGTGGGGGCCATGCGTGGTGGCTCACATCTGTAATCCCAGCACTTTGGGAGGCCAAGGTGGGAGGATCACTTGAGGCTGGGAGTTCAAGACTAAACTGGGCAACATAGCCAGACCCCATCTCTAAAAAAAAAAAATGTTTTTAAAAGGAAAAAAGGAAGAAAAAAATGTTGAGTGATCTGGGCAATAACTTCCTTTCTCCCTCCGTGCAATGGCTAGTGCACAGACTTTAACCACACCCCTGTGAGAATTTGTAGCAAGGACTAATCATGGGGTCAGAAGGGATTATTTGCTTTCTAAATGCTACAGCTTCATATTCTTAAAATGCATTTGCAAACAGGATTTGCATTATGTCAATCAGTCTGCACGAGGTTTTCCAGGACTCTCTCTCCTCAATAAATTGAGTTTCCTCCTGACCTCCTAGCCCTAGCCTCTCCCTCATCTCACCCAGCTGTGAGCTGCGCGGGAAGGAAATCAAGGACTGCGAGGAGAAAGGACTGTTTGATAGTGATGGATACACTGCCTGCCACTTGTGGGGGGCTGTGCGTGGCACTGCGGGGGCAGAGATGAGAAATTTGCAGCCCTGCCCTCCTCGAGTAAGGGCAGGCTGGAAGAAGCCAAGGGCGGTCAGAATGCTGCAGGGACAGGTCAGGAGGCCAAGGAGAATAGGGTCATCGGGGTTGGCCATTGGGGTTGGTCATGGGGGTGGCGGAGCAAAGCTTCGAGAAAGGCTGTGATGAACACATAGAGCTGGGGGAGACCTTCCAGGCGGAGGGGACAGCGGGAGTAACATCCAGACCCCCTCGAGCACCTCTTCTCTTTAAAATCCCCTCCATTGAGCCTTCCTCTGTCCCCAGCTCCTGGCCCACCTCTCTCCTCCCTCGCACAGCCAAACCCCGGAGGCGTTTGCGCTCCTTGTCACCCCTTCCTGCCCTCATCCTCCTCCAGCTCTTGCCAGTCTCGCTCAGGCCCTGCTGCCCCTCTGTCTGACACCACCGTGGCCAGCGTCACCAGTGACCTGCACGTCACCCGATCCACAGATTCTGTCCTCACCTGTCCCCACCTCTCAGCTGCGCTGGACACGGGCCACCTCAGTGGTCCTTCTGCTGGTGGCCCCGTGCTGGCCCTTCCCCTTTACCCGACTCGCACTGTCGGCGCCCTCGGGGTTGGCCCAGGACCCGCTTCTCTCCTCTCCCTTGACCCTGTCCCAGGTGAGCTCGCCCATCCCTGTGGCTTCAGACGGTGTCAGCTGAATGCTGACCGGCCCCGACTCTGTACCTGTAACGACACAAGTCGGATTGCACAGACCCCCACAGCAGCTGCCTGTCTCACTCGGGGCAGACGACAGAGCCCTGTGCCACCAGCCATCCCTGCCTGTCTGTCCTCACCTCCTCCCTCTCTCCCTGGAGCTCACCCTGCTCCAGCCACCCAGGCTCCTTTGCTGCCCCTCACCCAGGCAAGACCTGCCTCTGCCCCAGGGCCTTTGCACATTCCTCCTCCGCGATCCAGCACCCCTGCCCTGTGCACAGCCAGCCTTGGCAGGACAGACGGCCTTCAGGTCCCAGACAGGCCCTCCCCACCCTCGTTATTCTCTGTTTGTAGCTTCACAAAATGTTCTCTCCGTATTTGTTTGCCTGTTGGCTCGTAGCCCAGCAGACCATGAGCTCCGTGGGGACAGTGGTGGAGGGGGCGCAGTCTGACTTGTTCCCTGTTGTGTAACCCAGAGCCTGGCACAGACCCGTGCCCAGGGAACACCTGCTGAACGGGGGGCGGGGGGAGGGCGGGCATGTCCCGGGGCCCCCACCTCCAGCCCCGCAGGACCTGTCCCCAGGAGGTGGGGCGGGGGCGTCTCACCTGGCCTCCCCTGCTCTCTCATCCTCAGCACCAAGCGGTTTGAGGACATGATCGCGCCCTTCCGCCTGAACGATGGCTTCAAGGACGAGGCCACTGTGGCAGAGATGAGGCGTGACTGCCCCTGGAAGATCTCGGATGAGGAGATCAACAAGAACAGAGTCAAGGTGCAGGGGAGGGTCGGGCCCCGCCGGAGGGGGTGGGGACCAAGCTGCCCACTGGGCCGGGCTGCGTGTCCCATGTGTCCCCTTGACCCTCAGCCCCGCCTTCCCCCCACCCCCGCCCCAGCTCTCCTCAAGTGGCAGACACTCAGGCTGGAGGGACTCAACGGCTGTGGGACTCAACGCCGTACTGGTGTGACAGCCGGTCCTGCCACCTTGAGTGCCCCCAGCGGTCCTCCCTCTCCTGCCCATTCCTGTGTGCCCGGTGGAAGGGACTTGGGAGACTCGTGCTGAGAGTGGAGGTGTAGTCTGTCCTGTGGCCCAGACACAGCCCAGAGCCACGCCGCCCTTCCTAGACAGCCCTTCAGGACTCTCGGGGCTGAGACAGGGGCGTGCATGTGCGTACACGTGGGGGCGACGTGTGACCACGGCTTAACAGGGCTGTGTGGCCCGTCACCGTGGGCAAGCGCCAGGAGGGCTGGGGACAGGGGCAGGCGCCAGGTCTCCTCCCAGCATCACTGGTTCGCCACACGGCGGTGTTGCCCCAGGGGACACTTGGCAACCTCTGGAGACAGTTTTGGTTGTCACAGCCAGGTGTGGGGGGTGCTCCTGTCATGTAGCCTGGGATGCCACTGAACATCCTCCCGTGCACGGGACACTGCCCACGACAGAGGACCGTCTGTCTGAAATGCCAGCAGTGCGAGGCTGCGAGTCCCCGATCTAGGTTAACCCCCCCCACCAGCTTCCCGGTCTCTAGAATTTGTGTGTGCATTTGCGATCAGATCCCAAGTGTAGCCATTTATGAACAAATTGGAGAGAGACCCCCGACCCGGCCCCCCACACACAAGCTTTGGGGAATTCTCTGATCTGTCGGCCCCAGACCCTGCCCCCAAAAGCCCCTTGGAAAATGCTGAATAAGGCCTGGTGTCCCAGCAGGCCCCATGCTCTGTTGCAGAGGACACGGGGCCTCTGTCCCTGCTCTGAGTTCTTGTCTTCGCCTCGAGCCGGGCCCTGGCCTGGCGCTTTTGCCCTGGTCATCTCAGTGGATCCTCCCCAAGCCCCCGGGGGCGTCATCACACCCATTTCACAGATAAGACAGTGACTCCAGGGCCGATCCGAACCCGGGGAAGCGTTCTCCCTTCCCTGTACCCCGCTGGTAACGGTCGCGAAGGCGGGCAGGTCCGCCGGGAGCTCCTGACGAGGTGGACTTGGTGCTCGATTCCCACGGGGTCTCCTTCCGTGGTGGCAGGTGGGGGAGCCCATAATAATTCAGGGGGTTATAATAATTCACGTATCCAGTTGGAAACATTAGAAGGGGCCCGAGGACTTGGCAAGGAGGCGAGGCGCTTGAGGACGTGGGAAGTGACCCCCTGCTTTCCCGCCCCAGTCCCTGCGGCAGGTGAGGCTCAACGAGATCCTGCAGGATTACTCCCGGGACGCGGCCCTGGTGGTCATGTGAGTAGCCGCCGGCAGGAGGACGGGCCTGTGGGGGGTCTGGGGTCTCGGGTCAGGGAAGGGCTGGGCAGGTGGGCCCCGCTGAGGGCCCGAGCTCTCCCCTGGGAGGCAGAAGGGCCCAAAACTCCGGTAAACACAGCCCGGGCTGCGTGTGCCCACGGCTGAGCGCCAGCTGGCAGAGGTGTAGGGCCTCGTGCGTCCCGGGCGTCAGCAGTCACCTCTGGCCACTGCTTCCTCCTGTTGGCCAACTTTTCCTGCCCAAATCCGCATGGCATAGGGGGAGCCCGGCTCATTCCAGAAGGAAATCGATTCCTGGTTGCTCAGGGGTTGTCTAGCGCTCTGGCCATCGGCCATCCCCAAATGAGGTTGGTGCCAAGCCCGGGCGACTGAGACAGAGGCCTGCCCCACACCCAGCTGTTCCTATGGAGCCCTATCCGGTTCTGAGCCACCGCAGAGGGTGTTAGCCAGGGCTGAGCACGCAGGAGACAGGGCGGGAGGGGACAGTGGCACAGAGAGGGTCTCAGTGTGGCTCTGCTCTCTCTGAGGCCATAGGGAGGACTCGGTCAGCCAAGCCCTCTGGGTCCTCAGCTCAGGGGGGAAGGGGTCCTCGCCAAGGCAAGTAGCTGACTTTGCTTATGTTCAGCGGGGCCAACCGCCTGGAAATTTCGCAGGACGGCCCAGAAGCCTGCTGAACCTGTTTTCTCATACCCTGAATCCAGGACTGACCACACCATTTGCAGAGCCTGGGATAAAACGAAAACGTGGGGGCCCTTGCTCACAAATTACTAAGAATGTCAAGATGTAGTCCTCCTTTTCAAAGCAATCTCCTTACATTCTCGTGTGGGGTGTATGGAATTCATTTTCTTAAAATCTCAGGGTGGTGGGAGGGAGGAGGGGGCAGGGGCCGAACACAATTGATCACAGGTGGTAACTGTCTTAGACAGATGATGCGGGCAGAAAACTTTAGCATACTGGTTTTCAACATTTAGGCCAGGGGTCCTCGAACTTTTTAAACAGGGGGCCAGTTCACTGTCCCTCAGACCGTTGGAGAGTGCACACTGTGGGCCCGGGACGAGTCAGCTGCTAAGCAGGACAGGCAGCGGCGGCAAAAACACCCAGATGGCCGGATAGGATAAATGTCCTTAGCGGGCCACGGGCTGTAGTTTGAGGACACCTGGTTTAGGCAGTTAAATGTTTCCATAAATCTGCAAAACGCCTTCTGCCTTGGCGAACAAGCACAGATATAGCATTGTGAGCAGGAAGGGACTCAGCCAGCTTGCCTCTTTGGAGAGGAGGCCCCGAACCTGGCACCACACACTGTTCCTGGGGTGTGTGCAGGGATACGGCCTGTTCCCAGACTTGCCACCATCCAACCTGGACTGCAGGTGCCAGGATGTAAGGACGTGGATTTGTGGGAAGGGACCTCAGACCAAGTTGCCCATTGAGGGTGATAAAAGCAACTAAAACCCTATTTTTCCAGCACTTTAGTTGCCTAAGTATTGTACAAGTTACACAAATGCCCCACCATTGTATCTGCAATACCCTCTTTCAATAGAGTGCCAGCAACGTCCCTTTTGGGCTTTGTAAGGCCCCCTTTGAGAAGATCAAAACGGCCAATAGGTCCTAGCAGATAAATAGATAAAGCCTGAGGACCCCCTGCCCCCCACCCCGTCCCTGGTAGTGCCGGATGGTGGGAGCTAAGCAGCCAGTCTGGACACCTGGCCTGCAAGGTCTCTGGACCTCCAGTCTTGTCTGAAGAGGTCCATGAGGACCCAAGAGGCGCCAGCGTCACTCACTCTTCATTGGCAGGACAGAGGTAAAATGTTTGCTTCCAGAGTTTGGTCAGCAGAAAGTGGCTCAGGCTGTGCGAAACATGCTTAGGTGACACTCAGATTATATTCCATACACGCAAGTGGAGTTTAGGGATTAATCCATGCAGGCCGCTATAACAAAATACCATATGCTAAGTGGCTTAGGAACCACAGAATGTATTTCTCTCAGTTCTGGAGGCCGGGAAGACCATGATCAAAGCACTGGGAAATTCAGTGTCTGGTGACTCCCGTTTCCTGGGTGACACCCGGCCTTCTCGCCTTCTCGCCGTGTCCTCACTTGGCGGAAGGAGGGGGGCAGCTCTCTGGGGCCCCTTTTTGTAAGAGCTCTAATCCCACCCATGAGAGCTCCATCTTCAAGGCCTGGTCACCTCCCAAAGGCCCCACCTCCTAATACCGTCACCCTGAAGGTAAGATTCTTAACACGTTTAATTTTGGGGGGACGTAGATATCAGACCATAGCAAATGGTTGCGACCTACCAAGTTCTTGTTGCTCCCAGTCTCCCCGTATGTGTCCGTACACAGCAGGACACACAGATTCCTAACGACTCCTGACATCCCACGCAGCATGGGACTCATTCTTTTCAGCAGATTAGTGTAAGAGCACGGACGTCTGACGACAGGCCATTCATCTGACGACAGGCCATTCATGGCTAGTCCTTTCCTGGGACATGGCACTTCCCATGCCCCAGATGCCACCGGTGCCAGCGTGTGCTTTTCCTGAAGGACGGATTGCTCGGTGTGTTCATTTCTCAGGCGGTGATATCAGTCACAGTGTAGTCGACTGGGAGGAACACTCGCGACACTTCCCTGTGTGACTTAAACGAGAGTCATTTAAAAAAAAAAAAAAGTGTCAAGATGGTGACAGCAGAGCGTCAGACCAAGCATGGGACCCTTCTGAGCACACGGCCCCGTGCGACTGACTGCACAGACTGCACGCCCAGGAAGCTGGCTCTGCCCAGGACAATGCTCCCTGGGGCTTTGGGGACATAATTTTTGGTGCAGAGAAGGTGCTCTGTGCTTCCCTGATGAGAGCTGTCATGAGGAGCGGGGCTGGTTTCTCTCCAAGCCTCTGGCCAATACCTAGCAGACAGTGTTCCTCGGGCAACACTGCTGGGGGGGTCCGGGCCAGACAGTGGACGTGACTGCATCCTGCCCAGACTTTTCCTGGGGTGTGGCACCCGCTGTGTGCACATGGGTGTGCCCAGCCCTGTGATGGTATTAGGAGGTGGGGCCTTTGGGAGGTGACCGGGCCATGAAGATGGAGCTCTCATGGGTGGGATTAGAGCTCTTACAAAAAGGGGCCCCAGAGAGCTGCCTCCCTCCTTCCGCCAAGTGAGGACACGGGGAGAAGGCGAGAAGGCCGGGTGTCACCCAGGTGTCACACATGGGTGTGCCCCAGCACTCACATGGGTGAGTGCCCCCTCTGTTCAGAGAAGCAGGCTTGCATTTTGTCTCTGCTGTCAGCCCACTGTGTGGCCTTGGGTAAGTGACTGCATGCCTCTCTAGCCTCAGTTTCCCTAATTATAAAAAGAAGAGTTTAACGAAAGTATTTCCAAGATTCACGCTAACATGCTGTGATTCTAAGTTTATTTGCCATTAACATGAGTCTGTCTCTCAGGCCACAAGATGAGGAATTTCATCCTGGGAGGTGACCACCTGTTGACATTGTCCCTTCCCACCCCTAACCCCTCCCCCCAGCCCCTGACCTCATAGGGCAAACCAATCCCCACCCACCAGCTTTTGTGAGATTAGCAGATGCACGTAATTATGAGTCCAGTCACCTTAGAGAAGATGCCAGCCCAGCCCACAGTGTCCCGCCCCACGCCAGCAACTACAGCTGTTGCCCAAAGGGGCCCAGCTGCTTGGCCAGCTCCCCTGGGAGGACAGAGCTCCCCTGGGAGGACAGAGCTCCCCTGGGAGGACAGAGCAGTGGCATCTCTGCGTGGGGGAGGCTTGCCCCGGGAGCCACCAGGGGAATGTGGCAAATGCAAATTCTTCAGTTCCTTCCAGATGGGGGTCTGGGGTAGAGCCCAGAAACCTGCATTCCTCAGAAATTCAGGGGGAGGAAAAAAATGTCCCAAGCCTTGGTGAAATGACAAAATCGTATAGTCTAGCGTTTCAGGGAGCACACTTGAACCCTTTGCTACAGCCGGTTTGAGGCAGCGCCTGGTGCTTTGCAATCTCCTAATCAGGGGGTTATCTGCCTGAAGGCCCCTGCTTGGGCTCGGCTACCCCTGCTTAACCCTGATAAACCAGTGGCCTGCCCTTGACCAGACCAACAACCCGTTCGTGTTGTGTCCAAACACCTCCTTTATCTGTAAAGACTCCCTCCTCAAAGCCAAACAGTCCTAATCGACAAGGCAGCTAACTGACCGGGCCTCTGTGATACTTAAGGCATTGAGCTGTACGAATTTTCAAAGCTCTACAAGTCCGAGTTTTGGAGATGAGGAGACAGCCTCAGAGGAGTTGAGCTACTTGGCCAGACTCTCACAGGTGGGAAGTGGGGACAGGTCCCGAAGCCTGACTCCGGTCGTGACGCAAAGCTATCGTTCCACATCTAGGTTAGGTCCGAGGCTGCCTATCTGTGTGGCTAAGAGGCGCAGTTCTGAACAAAAAGCTCCTCTGTGCTGTGCGGCTGGCTTTCTACAGATTAGTAGCTAAGGCCTGCACAGCCTGTGAGCGGCCCAGAGCGTGTCATCGATTGGCGTGGGGCTGGGTTTAAAGGCAGCTGTCCCCAGGACAGGTGCACAGGCGTTGTTGGGGGAGGAAACGTCATGCTGAAGCCTCAAAGCCACCGCAGGAGTGGCGGGTGTCCCCTGCCCCGATAATGCAGCCCTCAGTTCCCTTTGAAGTTCCTGAATTCAGTCCCTAAAAATAACCTAGTGTTTCCCAGATGGCGTTTTCAGCCTGTGGCATCACTGCTCAATCAGAAGAGTTTGGTTTTGACACTCCCATGTCCCTATTGCCTGGAAAGTCCCCACATACATTTGAAGTAAGATGACAGTAGCTTGATGAAATGTCCTTGTTCCCAACTGGCCTCCCCCAGTTTTCGGGATCGTGCCTTTCCAAGGGGAGCAGTGGTTGTCCCAAGTGAAGTTGCTGGAATTTCAGTTATGAGGCAGCTGTTGGGGATTCCAGTTGCCCTTCTCAGCCTTCTCAGCAGAGGGGGCGTCGCAGTGAGCAGAGGCAGCTGGGGGGTGGGGGAAGATCCCGAGACCTGGGTTCGAGTCCCAGTCCTGCCACCACCGTGGGTCTTCTCGTGCCAGTCGATAATGACAAGTGGGGAGAACAGCAGCTGGCGCTGGGAAGTGCGAGCCACGGGCCCTGCGCGTGCTTTGTCGTCTGTAGGGCTCACAAACATCCTACGAGGCCGGCGTTTGTGTTCTCACTTTGGGGAAGAGAAATCCGAGGCTCGGGGGCAGGGAGGCACCGTGCCAAGGCCCTGTGGCTGAGGGCGCGGCCACGCCACACTCGGCTGCTCTGGCGCCAGGCCTGGGCTCTGACCCCAGTGTGGCTGGCCTCCTCCTCCTGCCCGGCTCCCGAAGGAGGCGGCGCCCAGCCCTGCCCAGTCCCGAGGTTCGGGTGAAATAAGTAAGGGCCGTGCTGTTAATGCTTTGGGAAAACGCTGTCAGGCGAGTCCCGCGCGAGGGGCTGGGGGCTGGATCCGAGAGGCGCAGCCCCCCCCAGAAGCCAAGCGCTGGGCAGCTGTGGCCGTCCCAGTGCATTTCTGGAATTCTCAAGATTTCAGCAGAAAAGTCACTTCCTGAAATAGCCGGGAAAACACGGGCGAGCAGCATTCGGGGGCATCGCGCTATCTGCGGAGCACTGCGCGGCTGGGACAAGGGGCCTTCCATGCAGGGCAGGAGGTAGCGCAAGGACACTCGGGGGGATCCCGCAAATGCATCATGCCGTTGTGGCCGCAGGCAGGTGTGTGGCCAGAGAGGCAGGCCTGGCACGCTGTGAGCGACCTGAGGGGGGTCCCCCACTTAACACCCGACCAGACTGTGTTCCAGGCTCAGGAACAGGGGGGTGGACAAGACAGACCCGCGCCTGCTCGTGAGTGAACATGCATCCAAGGGGGGAGACAGACAGTAAATCAAAACATGCTTTTGAGATTGTGAAGGGCTGCAAAGATGGAAAGACCGGGTGACGTGGGAAAGATGCACAGGTGGCCTGCTCTGGAGGGTGACCAGAGAGAGAGATGCACTCACAGAGACCTGAGTGATGCCAAGGAGCCCCCAGGTGGAGAGAGCATCACGTGCAAAGGCCCTGAGGCAGGAGCAAGCTTGGCATGTTTCTTAAGGGGTGGAAAGAAAGCCAGGTGGTGCCTTCCGGGTGTGAGTGAGGTTGGGGCTGGGAGGAGGTGAGGTTGTGCGGGTTCACAGCTTTGTTTAGAGACGCTTCATGGCTGAAGGCACATTTTGAATAATGCATTTAAGGAAAGCAGAGCGGTGTCCTTGGGTAAACAGACCGTGAGCCGGGCTGCGCGGGAAGGTCCCTTGGTGATTTCTCTTGCGCTGCTTCTTCCTACCTTGCAGCACGTTGCCCGTCGGGAGGAAGGGGAAGTGCCCAAGCTCGCTGTACATGGCCTGGCTGGAGACCCTGTCCCAGCACCTCAGACCTCCCGTCATCCTGATCCGAGGAAACCAGGAAAACGTGCTCACCTTTTACTGCCAGTAACTCCAGGCCTGGCCGTCCCTGCCCGAGGCTGAGTGCGTGGGACGAGTTGGAATTTGACCTGCTCCAGCTCTCCGGGACAAGACTCAGATTTTATTGCACTATAGCATCTGACAATTCCATCAGACCTGTCTCCAGGGCCTTGTTTTTATGGGCTGGAGAAGTAGCAGATGGAGTAGCTCTAAAATTATCTGAAGGGCCCAATTCCTTTTAAACGTTTTCTTTTGATCCTGATAACCACTCAAGATTTCAGCCTTTGATTGATATGCAAATGTGAGTCGGAGTGCTGGGTGTGAATCGGCAGGAGTTCCTAAACAAAGCCTCCTTCCGCCAGCTGTCAGAGAATGGGAGCCCCAACTGTGCGCCCGCTTGCAAAGCCCTCCAAGGAACCTGGGCTCCCTGAGCCTCCCGAGTGACACACGTTTCTCTGAGCCCCTCACTCCCTGTACTTTCAACACGGGGACTTGTCAACAGGACAAAGGCCAAACTCTATGAAATAATTTTAAAGGGATTTATTCTAAGCTAAATTTGAGGACCAAGACCCAGAGCCACGCCCAAGAAGCCTTGAGCAAGTGGATTCCCTGTGGCTGGGTTACAGTTTGGTTTCATACATTTCAGGGAGACAGGGGTTACCGGTAAAGTCATAAATCAATACGTGGAAGGCATACATTGGTTTGGTGGCCCAAAAAGGTGGGCCATCTCAAAGCGGGGAGGAGGGGCTTACAGGTTACAGGTGGGTTTAAAGATTCTTTGATTTGTAATTAGTTAAAGACCTGAAGCTTTGTCTAAAGGCTTGGAATGTTTTGAGATAAGAAGCTGTTAATCAGAGACAAGCCACCGGATATACATTTGTTGTGTAAATTGAGGGCCTCCAACCTGCTGGTTTGCCTTGCATACCCTTAGGCCTGTTAATGGGTTACAAAGGATGTCCCGGAGAAGGGAGGGGGGCATGATGAGGCAGGTCTGACCATCCTTGTGCCAGGCAATTTAGTTTTAGGATATTCCCCTAGCCAAGAGGGGGCCATTCAGTCTGCTGGTAGGGGGTGAGCCTTAGGATTTTTATTTGACTTCTCAGCCTTCCGAGTCTTCCTGGATGCTTTAGAGCAAGGACTTTCAACCCTTCTTGTTGCAACCCACAGTAAGGAATATATTTTATGTTGAGACTTGGAATGCACAAGCATAGAAATAGGAGAAACAAAAGTGTTACAAAACAATACTTATCTTTTCTGTTTTATTTCTTTTCCTCTTTTTTTTTTTTTTTAATAGAGACAGGGTCTCGCTCTTGCTCAGGCTGGTCTCAAACTCCTGAGCTCAAGCGATTCTCTTGCCTCAGCCTCCCAGAGTGCTAGGATTACAGGCGTGAGTCATCGCACCCAGCCTCTTTTTTTCTTTTTAATGTTGGTTGCAATCCACTGAAATGACTTTTGGACCCACTGATGGGTGGGAACTCACAATTTGAAAAATGCAGTCGACTTTCCATTGCGCCCTGAGGCCACTTCGGGCATCACTGTCATTTTCCCAGCTCATCACACAGGGAAGAAAAGGGAATTAACAAAACACTCGAGGAGGAAGAGGAAGAATGTGGGCGTGTCAAGAAAGAGTTCTAAAGAAGGGGCCAGACTGAGGAAGTCAAGTGGAAGGGTGTTAATTTCAGGCATGGTTAAGAATGGGGAACAAAGATGTCAGGAATAGGGGAGCAGAGAGGGGGTGAGGTAGGCGACAGATGGGAAAGGAAGGAGCAGGTCAAAGCCCAGCCCAAGGCCGGTGAAAGGGAAGGGGGGAGGAACACCTGTGAGACATGGGCAGAGAGCAAGCGGCAGACCAGAAGGGGCTGGGGTGGGGCCGGAGGTGGGAGAGAACTGGGACGATGGAGATGAAGGAAGGACTTACACCTGGCTCAGGGAAGGTGTTCAGGTCACCAAAGGTTGAGGGTTTTTGCCTACAAAGCCAGGGTGCAAGAGCCACGGAACGCCAGTGGGTGAGACAAAGTGAAAGGTCTCTAGACGTAACCAAGCAGCATAAAGGCGAGGTGTTTGGCAGGACAACTTCTGGTGGCACCAGGGGGACTGGAGGAACAGGCATCTCTGGCTTCATCAGCCTCCTCAAGGTCACTGCCATGCCCACTTACTCATGAGGGCTGAAGTCTCCTTCTTTGGTTTAGAACCCAAAGGACTTTAGCATTTCTCAGGTCATCCCACTGCAAAGACCAGAAGGTTCTGAGGCTGTTCTGAAGCCCCACCGTCCTTTGATGGTATTAAGTCTTGCTGACAAAGACTACGGACTGGCCAAGCTTGCTGGGGACAGCTCCTCTGCTCCCAAGGGACCTCGAGAATGGGCCTGAGCCTCTCAGCTGGACCTGGGACCAACCCCCAACTCCAGATAAGGCAAAGCCTCCCTCAGGGAATGCCTGCGTTCCAGAGCCACTAGCTTGTGGAAAACAGTTTCCTGGTTCTCCAAACCTCAAGGAGTCCTTCGTCTAAGAACAGAGACTGTTTTGGCTTTGGGTGTTGAAAACATTTTTTCACTATGTTAGAAACAGTGAATTTTTAACAGTAATAATAGCTTTGTTTTAAAAAAACAAAAGGCTTTGAGTTAACAGTGAGGCCATAAACAATGCAATGAATAAAAAATATGTTCACTTAGTCAACATAACTTATTTGTTTTGGAACACGCTTTTTTTCAACTCTGCTGAGTATTTTGAAAAAAATTAACTATTGTTTTTTCAACCCTGGATTGAACTTTTCTCTGAGCTTCCACGGATTCTGTAGGCCACATTACCAGATTTCTACATAAATATTTATAGGAGCCATTTATGTTCCCTTTGCTCCACTTACGTGCGTTTGCAAAATCACAGGGAGCCTGCCTTCCTCAGGCTTTATGAAAGTCCCCCAGCATTTTCGATCTCGCCTCAAGCTGAGAGAAGAGAAGTTGAGTAGAAAGAGCCATGGCATGGCCACCAGGGGACTTGGATTTGAGTTTTTGTCTCTCCCCCAAACTGGCTGTGTGACCTCAGATATGCCCCTTAACCTCTCTGAACCTTAGTCTGTGAAGGGAGAGAACTGGACCAAAGCAGGTGTCACCAGCCAGCTGGCCTGCTGATGCCTGTGGTTTGGCCAGGCACAGTTGACCAAAATTGAGGATGCAGCAGGGGGTGGGGGCCTGGGGGAAGGGGTAGCATTCTTCAGTCACCACCCCCACCCCCCACCAGCCCCTTTCACTTCCTGCTACCCTGCTGTGTGACCCTTTGGTTCAGGGGCTCTCTAAGGCTCTCCAGGTCATAGTTGGGCCTATTAGGCGACAGGAGGGCAAAAGATTTTGGTCCATGCTGGCCTCTCTCTGCCTTTAGATGACAAAATGCTTCACATTAATGAGCTTGTGTGGTGGGAAATGCTATCCCCAAGTCCTCCCTTTCGCTGTGCATGGAAAACCTGACCCACAGAGGGGCGGGTCCCAAGGGCCCCGCCTCAGCCACCCCAGCAGGGTCTCCGCTCTTCTCTCCCCTGGGATCCACTGTCCAGTTAGCTCCCAGTTTCCCCCTCAGCATTTCAGCCTCCAGATTTAGTATCCTCCTTCACTTCCTGCCCAGACCTGTTGTGGCTTTGAAGTCAGTGAGGGACGGCCCATTTTCCACCCAGCAGGCTCCCTGAGCTCCACGTCCCCAGGCAGAAAATGGTGCGGCTCATTAGCACATGGACAGTCCCAGTTTGGACTGAATTCCCTTTTAGACACCTGCCTGGGCCTCTCTAATACGACGCAGGGGGAGGAGGGGTTCACAGGGATGAGATCAGCTGGAATGTTCCAGAAGAACCACCTGGCCGGTGGGCCACGAAGCACATGCAAAACAGCTAGGTTTCGCTCGTAGCTATGTATAGCTCAGGATGTCAGAAAAAAATGCTGCGAACTCCAAAATTGTTCGCAGAAACAGGCCCCAGGAAAGCCCAGCTTTGTTTGGTAACTCCCCGCTTGAAGCGAGGTTTAATCCTGTGACCGAAAGCACGAATACAACATAAGTGCCCACTTCCTGAAAGGGAGCACAACAAACTCAGTTACTAAAAATACTTTGAGAAGAGCAACCTGGCTGGGAGGCCAGAGAGCAGAATGTCCCATGGACTCATGACGGTGGCAAAAAAAGGACGAGTGTTTTTATTCCAACTCCTACAAGATTTACAAATAAAACACTCTATATTTGCAAAGGAGGGAGCAAACATAATGTCAAGAGGATTAGGAACATCTCTATAGAGAAAATCGCATTTAAAATAGGTTTGAAAGATTGGTAGGATCCAACAGAAAGACAGAAATGAGAGCTGGGAGTGGAGGAAGGCATTCCAGGTGGTAGAAATAGCTTGAGCAAGGGCTAGAGTAAGGACAGCCCTAGGCACGTTTGGAGAACAAGAAATAAACCCGTTTTCCTGGAGTGTGACGGGTGTGGACATGGGAACATAGGACTGAGAGAGTCGCAACGTGAAGGCCCCAGCTATGAGGCCAAGGAGCTACCAAGTAACAGAGTCACTGGGCTCAACACTTTCCGAGTGGCAGAGGGAATGTAGAAGAGGGGAGAGATGGGGGACAGTATGAAGAAATAGAATCTTCCAGAACTGGGAAGTCCCGGGATGTATGTGTGAATGGAGATAGCACCCCAGACGTTGAACCTAGGCACTCGTAAGATGAAGAAGCCATGTAACATGGAAGACAGGGGGGTAAGAACTAGCAAGTGGGTTTGGACTTGGTGTTCTAAGTGTGGGAACATCCAGCTGGTCGGAATCGTGGTCCTGGAGCCTGGGAAGAGCTCAAGGTGTTCCACATTGGCCCAAAGCTCTTTGACAACAGTAACATAAATAGATCTGGGAGTTGTGTGCATGGCCAGGGATATGGAAGGCACAGCTTGGGCGAGATCAAGAGGGAAAATACAGAGAAGAGAGGGCCGAGGCTGGACCTCGGGCAGGGCTCTATGAGGAGCAGGATGAAGAAGAGACAGCCATTAACGCAGCTTTGAACAGAGCAGTGCAGGGGCAGGAGGAAACCCCAGGTGAGAAAGCACCAGAGACGGGGTAGAAAAAGGACAGAGTTGATCACATGGTATCCGTCGGAAGACCAGCTGAAGCCGAGGAAGTGCTGTTGGATTTGAGGTTCTCGACATCACTGGGAGCCTTGCATAGAATAATTTGGAAAAGTGGTGGGTCAGAGACCAGGGAAACAGGGGGGAAACCCGAGGGAACACAGGCTCAAGGGAAGGTATTTCGATTGCTGTTATCTTAGTGGGTGTATTAGTCAGGGTAACGCTGGGCTATGCTGCGTAACAAATTAGCCTCTAAATGTTAGTGGCTTACGTGACAAAGATCTATTTCTGTTTTACATGGGCCTGGCGCGGTGGCTCACGCCTGTAATACTAGCTCTCTGGGAGGCCGAGGGCGGATTGCTCAAGGTCAGGAGTTGAAACAGCCTGAGCAAGAGCGAGACCCCGTCTCTACTATAAATAGAAAGAAATTAATTGGCCAACTAACATATATAGAAAAAATTAGCCGGGCATGGTGGCGCATGCCTGTAGTCCCAGCTACTGGGGAGGCTGAGGCAGGAGGATCACTTGAGCCTAGGAGATTGAGGTTGCTGTGAGCTAGGC